TCGCCCAGCGAATTCGGGTCGCCACTGTTGAAGAGCAGATGCGAGTTAAGGCAGAGGAGGAAGTCTACTGAAATCAAGGCTTGATGTCTGCCATTTTAATTTTATCAAGGCAGGTTTTGGTATCAGAGACACAAGACGTCCCCCAGCGAAACGATCGTCTGTTTGTCTCTTGTCGTTTGCTGTGGAGATTGAGGCCAGAAGATTGACGCATTGTGCCATCGTGCTGGGTTAATGACAACCAAGACGATGGCCAAAAGTGGTTACCGCAGGAGGACCTTCAATTCAAAATTGCCTTGAGACGATGCAAAAAATGGCAGTGTCCTTTGCTGCCTTAAACGCCTTACAAACTTCCTGCTTGAGCTAAATTGTTGAGAGTAGACTTCGATATCACAGAAGTGGACAGTCTAAAAGGAATGGTTGGCTGCCCTCTGTTTGTTCGAGCCATGTCACTTCCATGACATCACAGGCGGTAGTAGACAGTCGGTCAGTTCTGCCACCAGCACTGCACAAATGTCAACCCCAATGCCGGTGAATGCAAACTATCGCCTGTAGCAAAGGAAGGAGATTCAAAATGACGTCTAATTCTTACAAAAAAAAGTTTAGGTATAAAAGGGAGGCTAATGTGGGAGTAAATATTGCGTACTTCTCATTTTGTCGTCGTTTGGAGCACATCCGGACCTTCCACTGGACACAAGACGACATCGTAGAAACCCTCATGTTCGGTTGTTATCCTCTTTGCGCAACTTCACAAAAACTTGTAGCACTGAGGAGCTTATAGCCGACTGACATGCAAACTACGTCGCTCTTCACCACTGGAGTTGGTCATCCTCGCAATGGCTCAACTGTAGTTTTAGACTCTTCCATCCTGAGGCGATCGAAGGGCTACTTCGAAGCCGGAAACAAAGTCCTTTTGGTGAAACAGCGGTATCTTGGACTCCGTACCACCAAGAGGAAGCACAACAAATCCAATCTTGCCTAACACTCTCTTCTTACAACTCACACCTTCGTGGTAGATCGTTTGTAAACAACTGTGGCATTAAATGCACCTTTTTTTTTCGACTGAGCTGAGCTATCAGTAATGCCAAAGTTGGCGTTTGGTGACGGTTCAAAGGTTCACTGACCGAAAAAATGAACACTAGCAACTGGTGTCTGGTGCTCTGGTGACCCAACTTCTCCGCAATTTTGGATCAACGTAGGGTTAAGTAGAGCTTAATGACTCATAAAATTTAGACAAAATGCTTTTTAATACAATTTTATTGTTTTTAAATCACATCTTTTAATGACCATTTTCGTGCCTTTATTCTATGTTTTATCGTCTCCAGAATTTACTGGGGATATAACTGGCAGAATGGTGGTTATTTTATTTATTAAGTGTCATAAAATTTTAAACACTTTTGTGCACACTCGTTTCAATAGGTGTGATAAAATGGAGTGGTCTGTTGAGGCTTGAATGCCTCATGTAGCTGTGGAGTGAAGAGTGTTGGGGGACAATAGACCTGTGAGACCTCACTTTGTGCCCTGTCGAAAGCCGCAGCTCGGGCTCGGAATCGCGTTCGGAAGCTGTGGAGCGTGCATAACGACTTAGCTTTGCCACGGGCTGAAGCACCTGCCTTGGAGGCACAGCAGCTTTGGAAAGTGTGGAAGTTGTTTGATGCCTCCAAAAGCGTCGCCGTCCTTTAAGGGCGTGTTGAGGAGTCCAGTGCTGCCAGCTCATCTAAGCTTTGGTAGGTAGCTCGTTCTCCGGTGCTACTTCGATCACCGACGTAGGAGTGAAAGGGTCTGGAACGAAGCGTCCGTGCGATTGGATGCAAGCAGTGGGACAGACTGTCAGTTCACCACCACTGGCCATAAAAAGGGCGTTTGCCTCCCACATAAATCCGAACAGTTAACGGTGATTTTAGAAGGAAAAAAGCCTCTCTCCATTCAATGTTTAATAAAAGCAAGCGCTTCTGTACCGCGGCTAGGTTGCTACCGTGCCTTGATCACATTTTTACAAGAAAAGTTCTGTTTCTTTTGTTTCTTTTTATACCAAAATAACACCTCATCCTTGCCGATGGTGAAGGAGGCCCTTGAAATGACGTTGTCTTTTAGTGTTGACGCCTTAGACAGGATGGGTGGATGTTGCTGAAGCCAAGGCCGAATGCAGTTGGCATTAAAGCCCTACAGAGGCATCACATGATGTAGTTTCCTACATTGGCTTGCTTTTGTGCCAAAAATTCCGTATTCTGTGAATGACACATGGGATCTGCCTCTCAGGCATCATGATTGAGGTCTCTGCAATCAACCACCTGCTCCACTGTTATTGCATCCAAAAGAGGCTTAAGAAATGCCTTGCTTCCTCTGTTCTTTTTTTTCACCTCGACTGAGTCTATCCTAACACGGCGATAGATTGTGTCAGGTCATCGGTCCAACTGGCCGCCCACTTTTGCTGCGTCTCTGCGCTGCACGCATTCCTTGCCGCGACAGCGTGTGCGCAGACAATTAACAAGTAAAGGGCACCACTTTAAGCCTTACCATGGATTCAACCAAAAGATACTCAGTTAAGGCGAAGCATAGCTTGAAATAAATGTGACTGCACGTGGTCCTGTAACTGACTGGTCCTTTGGAGGCCTAAAAGTTCTCTCCTTTCTGTCCGTGGGTGGGTTGACATATTTGATGCAATGACTCAAACAGTCTGAGGTTGTTTTACTGCACAAGGAAGCCCAGTCTCTACATTTTGCCCCCAATTGTCTGCCTCACTATCAACAGTTGAAAGGAAAATGTCATTTTCTTGCATCATTTGTGTTTATTATTTCGTAATTTGAGGGAAAGGTGCAAAAGTAATGCCATTGACAAAGTGAAATGATCTCCTTTATCTCTGCCTGGCGAGTCCTCTTCTCCTACCCGCCCCATCCTCACAATACAAACTGAAACTGTGGGGCTGACAACACCAAAGTAAAAAAAAACCCTAGTCCTATGGCAACATGCTTTACCTTTTTCAAAAAAAAATAAAAAGACGATTGATACAATAACGTGTGTGTGTGTGACACAGCACTGACGAGGTGATGACACCGCAAACTTAATTTTTCGCATTCATTCCGTTGACCTTGAGGATTTGTTAAAAGGACAATACGGCGAAAGGTGCATTAAGCTGAGGAAAAGAACACCTAAGGAACACCTTAGCACAACCGGTCTTCATGACAGCTCGACAGTTAATTGCAAATTTATGCACCTTTTGCACATTTACATGGGTTGATAGGAGGCAAACAGAAACTCTGATGGATAAATAATGAAGTTTTCACTTGCCTTGAAAATAAGAAAGAAGACTTGACATTTTGAAAGTTGAATTTATCAGGGCACCCTAGTGATGTGTTTTGATATATGTGCCACACCAAAGGAGTGCAGAGGCGTAGGGTAGAGGTACATTCTCTGAAGGGTTGAAGAGCCAATTGATGGTTCAACAAACAACCATAAGGAATGCCAAGAACGATAGCTGCAATGGCAATCTTTTGGAGCCTTATGAGACTGGACCAAAGCTTAAAAATCAAACCCAGCGCCTGTCAGCTACAACTAGTTGATACTTGGGCACCAAATTCAGTTATTTCATAATACAGTAATAAACAAAAAACACACATTTGTCCAGCTGTCAAAAATGGTATCATTTCCCTCTAGAAGGTCATCAGCGGTGATGATTGTTGTGTTTGTCCGTTCATCAATTTGAACTTTCCAATCAACTCTGCGGTGATGCGTACCCAAGGTCACTTTAGCCGGTGTTAAAAACTTGTCACTGAATGCATCATTCCCATTGGCTGGTGGGAAGGTGATTGATGCCAACAGCTCTTTTCACCAGTTAACCAATCAAAATCGCTCTCCTGTCTGTGTGTTCGTAGCTTGACCTAGTCAATTCCATCCGCATCTTCTATGGTGCAGGAGCAGAATTGCAAATATACTCACTTTCTAGCAGCGTTTGAGTGCTGCATACTTCAGTGTGGTTGTTACTTGCACACTATGCATGCTCAAACATCCACCATATTGATCACTGTAGCACCAAAATTTCACATGCACCTACACACACATACACCTCAATGAAAGCGATGGAGAGTGCGGGTGCTTGTGTTTTACTACTTGCTTAAGACAGTTCCCTCGGAGGCTACTTTATGTTGCTTGTTTTTTTCACAAGCAGATCACATCACCTTACACGGTCTTCTTCATTCAGTCCTTGAGTGTAGTGAACCCGTTTCAAAATAAATTGCCCTCATTGATCCAACTTCCGAATCCGAAGGTCACAGACAGTTCCTCTTCCTATTTTACTGGAAACTTTGATGCATAACTGCGTCGAATAGCTTTCCAACGGAAGTGGGAAGACAAGGTTTAAAATCGAAGGATTTGGTTGAGGCGCGGTTCCAATTTACGAAGTGGATTCACCGGAACTTACTTTAATTGTAGGCTTGTCACTAGATGTGCGACCCTGTCTGGCCTGCGTTTTCCCGGAGCATTGAAAATTGTTTCGTATGCAGGGTGCATTTAAGTGCTTCTCTTTGCTTATCTTTAAGATTCTCACCAAACTCCGATCTACGTAGTCTGGCCTCATTTGCATAGGCACCAATGTCTAGAAATGATTGAGAGACTAAAAACAAAGCTTCAGACTGTTTTACGTCCCGGCAGCAAAAAAAATCCATGAAGATTGCCCAATGGCCTGTAAAAGCCTCAAAGCATTCGTACTACTGCTTCTAGCATTATTTTTGGGCCCCATTAAGACTTAGATACACTCAAATATAGCCCCGGTTCCATTGCAGCACAAGAAAGAGGAAGGAAACAGGACAATTAAATCAGATTTTCATTTTATTTGGCAAAATCCTAGTAAGTAAAGACAGTAAGTGTCGGTTTACTTGCATGTGTGTAGGTGCGTGTGAGGATGTTGATGTGTATTACTTTCCTTCTCGATTATAAGGCAAAGGATAAAGTATGCGGATAAGCTAACGGAAGAAAGAGAAAAAGAGGAAGTGAGTTTAATTTGGTGTCTATTCTCCCAACATCATACTGCACTCTTTGGCACAGGCCTCATAGTAATTCTTCTCAGCACGGATCAGATCCAATAGCTGAACGCTCAATCCATCCTAGAATAAGCAAGGCAACAAAGTGCTAATTATACGAAAAGAAGCGAGTCGTGGGAAGTAAGTAATGCGACAGTCACATACGAATTCCTTGCAGGTTTTCTCGAAAATGGCAAGAGACTCTTGATGCACCCGGTCGAAGTCACTTTCGTCTTTCCTCACCTCGGCTTCCCACTAAAAAAACAACCGCTTACCAAAAATATTCAAACTGAGTAGATTAAAAATTTAAATACCTTAGCCTTCTGTTCTGCAGACTTGGCATTCTTCAACTTTGTCTTGTCGGAGTCCAAATCTAGTCGAACTTCCTCCAGTTTGGTCTTTGCTTTCTAGAGGAAGTAATGAAATAATGAATTTGCATATATCAAATTAAATAGAAAACACAAAATTACCTGAGCTTCACTAAGTGTAGTGTTCACAAAGTTCTTCAAATCTTCAATGAAGGTCGTGTTGACCTCGCTATTAAAACTCTTCCTGGCGGTGGCCATCCGCTGGTGGACGTCAGCAGCTTCCATCAGCATCTTGGCTGAAAGCAAAACAATGAATAACAAAAAAGTAAAGCAAGTCATGATCAAAACCACAAAGTGCATACAGAGTTGAGGAGCTGCTTTTTCTGATTGCGTAGCAACCTGTTCGAGAGCAGTGCCGAGTTTATCAGTAGTGGTGGTCTTCTCTTTATTTTTTTGGAAAGCATCTGCAACTTTGGATGCTAAAATAAAACGTTGCACCATCAACATTCCGATTTGAAGAACGTGCAGAAACTCAATGCTATACAACGGCGGAGTATGCAAGTGCAAGTATTAAAAATTATGCAGCATTAATTAAAATCGACTTCTACAAGGAGAAGGAAAAACAGCCGACCTATATTAATGTCCACAAATTCCTCAGTAGCAGTGATGATCTTGTTGAGCCATGCTTTCATTTGATCGATCTCATGGATAAGATCCGAGGTTCGGGTAGCATATGAGGTCTTTTCACTCTTATTTACAAGTTCACCGGCACGCTGTAAATGTAAGAGTATACATAAATTTA